AATTGACACAAAGCGTCCCTACCTTTTCAATGCCATTGTGCAAAACATCTATACATTTTATTTTTTGACATTTTTACCTCTACCTTCCACCTTTTATTGCGTAAAATGTGATTTTCATCCATTTTGACGATTTTACCACTCTATTAAAAAAAAAAAGCAAAAAAAAAAATTGCAATCATGTCCCAAATTTTTTAAAAATTACAAATAAGTTACAAATATAGAGCATGTTTGGTAGAGCTGAAAATCCAATTAAAATCAATTATTAACCGTTATTTCACTATTCCAGCCGTCATTTTTTAATTTTTCTCTCACAAGTAGGATCCACTTTATCTCTAACAGTCAAAAAATCAATTAACAAAATCCTTACCAAACAAGCATATATACTTAAAAATCAAAACCAAAAAAAAAAAAAAAAAAAATCCCTCCATACATGTCTATTTGCTCTAGTGGTAAGGACATTGGCATTGCTGGCTGAGGTTCCGTGTTCGAGTCCTCTTACTAGCATGGTGGTATTGTGCCTCTCCAAAAAATCCCTCCATACGTGTAGGGCCAAGCGGTGTATACTAACCCGTAGGGCCAGGCTGGAGGTGGGGTTCTGGAGTATGGGGCCGCAGTGCGGTGGGGCCAGTCACTTTAAAAAGTTTACCCTACACAGNNNTAAAAATTTTCCCCCCCCCGCCCCCCCCCCCCCCCCCGGGCACATCCAAGTTGGCAAAGGAAGGGCAGTGTGGGGCTCGCAACCCCAGCGTGGGGAGTTCGATTCCTGATTGGAGTAGCTGAGTGTTTGTAATAACCATCTTGGTTGGAGCAGCTTGGTGATCTAATAACCATGGAGGAGGGTCCCTTGGGGTCAGGAGTATGAAGGCTGTTCGAACCCTGATCAACTTGGTCATATACCACGATTTACCTCCACCAGTCACTGAGGCGTCGGGGGCTGGAGGTCCAGGATATAGTCTGGCGTAGCTGGGAAACCTAGGTATCAAAAAAAATAATAATAATAAAAATTATTCTTGCTGTGAGTTTAACCTACCATCCATTGCCGCTTTAATCGTCAGAAAATGCTCCCCTCATTGGCTAGTTTAACCCACAAACACTTGCCCATCAATCAATTGCACAAACAGATCCTTTAACCATCCAAAACTTAGAAGAAACCAATTTGCTTCCACCATCAATTTCGGCGTCGATGATGGGTCCCGTGGTAGCGGACCACCCATTTCGGCATCCCCTCCTCATGCTCCAACTATTAAACTCTCTCAGCACTTTCTTTCTGTTTTCTTGCTTCGCCAGTGACGCCGCCTTCTTCACCACCCATTTCGGCATCCCCTCCTCATGCTCCAACTATTAAACTCTCTCAGCACTTTCTTTCTGTTTTCTTGCTTCGCCAGTGATGCCGCCTTCTTCTGCTTTCCTTTATTCTCTTCGCCTTTATAGTACACATCGCCAACCCAGTAGCGATGAACCACCGTAGTCAGCCATTGATGATTGCTAGAAAATTGCATAAGTCCAGCTCTCCTAAGCACCCTCCATCAACGCCAACAAAAGCTGCTGCAGCATTTCTTAATTGAAAAACTGTGCTGGTGCTGGGAGCATTTTTCGGATGCAAGGCTGCAAAAAGCAATCAACTTTGCTAGATTACTACAGGGACAAGTCAAATAATCAAAATTTTGAATTTATTGCCCCAATTGAGTGAAAAATAGCTAAACAAGAACCTAAAATTTTAATGGCAAATCAAAACCTGTTAACCCGATTTTAATCTACCAAAACTCACGAATCTTCAAGAGCCATACCAAACCTTCAAGCAAAATCGAATTTGCCAAGAAGTTGGACTCGAGCACTAAGCTTTAAAACACAAAGGGAAATTGGATGAGTAGAACTTACACCATGCTGGCTGGACGAACAACCAAGAATCTACAACAAATCGAACCTGAAACAGCACCAAGTTTTGGAGATAAAATCAAACATCACCAAAGAGAAAGCATCAGTGTAATTGATTGATGGGGAAGTGA